GTCGTTTGGGCCTGCCCGTCGGGTCTGGTCCAAGGTGAGGCCTTTATGGCCTGTAGTACCCCAAGGTTGGGCCTTTAGGCCCTGGTGTGTCCCTCTAGCCCTAAGTCGGGTCCGGTAGGACCCGTGTGGCGTCGAAGATGTAACAGTATATATATGTATATATAGTCAAACAGAGCTGCCCGGTAAACCGCAGGCAGAGAGGGAGAATAGGACAACAAACGAGGGGCGGTGACAAACTGTTTTGTCGGAGTTTCACCGACTCTTTAGGAGGCTGAACCGTTAACAGTCTGCAGAATCCCCTAACTCATTACACTGTTAGTGATAATCCACCTTAACCCCGGTTGTGGTTAAGCATATATATATCGTTACATATCTATGAACTAAAAGAGCGCGCTTTGCAAAACAAACGACAAAAATACACAAGAGAACACATGAAGAGCACACTGAAACTATTCATTTTTCTCATTCTTCTTTTAACTCCACCTTCACTGTGCCTCTCACGTGCAAGGCTCGCCATGTTGATGAAGTTGAGCACGAGCTGCCCGCATCCCCGTGTGCCATGAAGGCCCACTTGTAAGAAAGAGGCAGAGTGAAGGCGGAGAGGATAAACACTTGAACAAAGAACTACAAAGGGAAAATAAGGAGTGTGGAATGAAGAGGACAAGAAAAGGCTCAAGAATGAGTCTGTCCTTGATGACAGAGAGACCAACTTTTTAAGGATGAGGTGGATGAACACATGGAAGGCGTAGCTGAGCATTCTCAGTGCAACAATTGCCACGATGGCTGGCATTGAGCATGCCCACCATACACTCCTGACAAATGCCATGTCGATTGCAGGCCAACATGAAGGAAGAAACCATGCCATTGTAGTGATTGTGACAGAGATGATGGCGGCTAGGCTGAGTGTAACAGCCTTTGTAGTTGTGCAAAGGAGAAGGTCGCAGAGTGGTGGTACATTGGCCTGCTGCAGCACAGGGCCAGAGGAATGATCTTCCGTACACTATTAAAATCCCTAAGGGAACCAATCTCAGATCCAGGCCGTCGTCGGTCCTACCGGCCCACGGCCTGCATCATCGGAACCATGTAATAAATCTTGAATCCGAGCCGTTGGGTCCTACCGGCCCGACGGTCTGGATCGACGCGAAGACTTAAGATCTAAAGATCGCGCGAATCCAGGCCGTCGGGTCCTGCCGGATCGCAATCCAGGCCGTCGGCCTGGTACTACTGGGCCAACAGCCCTGGTGGACCTCGAATAGGCCTAGCCTATTGGTGCCGGTAGGTCTTATGGCCGCCGTACTGTCAGGCCTACCACCACCCTCCTTACTGCGTGTGTGTGTGCATGTGCTCACATGGGTGCGTGCCTGTGTGCATGCATATGCCTGCGTGTGCATGCGTGTGCGTGCGTGCCTGTGTGTGAGCGCTGTTGTGCTGGGGTGGGTGTGTCCGGCGGGCGGGGTGCAGTGCTTGCCACACACACACACACACACACACACACACA